CCAATCACAACACACACTGGCCCAGCTAACCAATCACAGCACATTTCGTATTTCAGAAAGCGGGCCTTCATTTGATACAGGAACTAATCGAGCCGTTCATGCCAGACTGGGGAGAGAGGTGTTGTAATAATGTAAAATATGTGAAAAATAATGTGTTTTTCAAACAACCTAGAATGAAAGCCTGTTCTAGTACACCCCCAAAACAAAATCAAGATTTTGTAAAAGAGCATAATAGGACCCCTTTAAGACTTTATTTGAGCAGGAAACTGATTGACTAAGGGTGTATTCACACCAGGAAAGTCCGCTAGTTCACTTGCTTTGGTTTGGACCAAATACAATGTTGATTTTTTTTTGTTTAGTGTGATTTGCTTTCACACTGCCCTTTTTGCAAGTGAACCAGAAATGGTAAACAAAACCACACGTGTGCTAAGGTCATCCATTCATTGGGCAGAAATTCTCAAGTGTACCAGAGTACAAACTCTGGTGCGGTTCAAATGAAATATGAACGCACCATGGACCAAATACTTCTAAACAAACCAAAAACAGGAAGTAATGACAATATGAGACGCTATGCGACATGAATTGACGACGCGGAACGAGCGATGTATCCAAAACAAAATGAGTGGAGGGCAAACGTGGAGCAACGAGTAGGTAAAGTGCCTTTTATGAGCTCTTCGTGAGTTCGCAGGTGGTGAAAATAAAATCATAAGAACACGCAGCAATGAGCGTGCTTAGTCCAGCCTGCATTAGGTGTGTTCGACTTAAAGCGGTGCTAGGGCTGTCGTGGTGAGGAAGTTTCCCTTGCGGTAATTCTGAGTGGCTCAATAGTGCGATATGCGGTATTATCGCCATACATATGTATATATATATTATATACACAGTATCTCACAGAAGTGAGTACACCTCTCACATTTTTGTAAATATTTTATTATATCTTTTCATGTGACAACACTGAAGAAATGACACTTTGCTACAACGTAAAGTAATGAGTGTACAGCTTGTATAACAGTGTAAATTTGCTGTCCCCTCAAAATAACTCGACACACAGCCATTAATGTCTAAACCACTGGCCACAAAAGTGAGTACACCCCTAAGTGAAAATGTCAAAATTGGACCCAAAGTGTCAATATTTTGTGTGGCCACCATTATTTTCCAGCACTGCCTTAACCCTCTTGGGCATGGAGTTCACCAGAGCTTCACATGTTGCCACTGGAGTCCTCTTCCACTCCTCCATGACGACATCACGGAGCTGGTGGATGTTAGAGACCTTGAGATGCTCAATAGGGTTTAGGTCTGGAGACATGCTTGGCTAATCCATCACCTTTACCCTCAGCTTCTTTAGCAAGGCAGTGGTCGTCTTGGAGGTGTGTTTGGAGTCGTTATCATGTTGGAATACTGCCCTGCGGCCCAGTCATCCGAAGGGAGGGGATTAGTGTTGTCACGGTACCAAAATTTCAGTATTCGGTACCAATACCAGTGAAAATCCACGGTTCTCGGTACCAAAGCAAAACACAAAAACATGCTAATTGAACAATGCACTATTTTTTATTAATAAAGTTAAACAAATAAAATGTACAAAAAAAATCAATGGCATTCTTTATAGTTATTTAAAATTGTCTTTCAAGTGATCAAATTATTACTTTTTCCACAAGTAATAAAAGTATGAAAATAAAAACAAACAAAAAAAATTGCAAACCTAAAAAACACAACAATATGCCATGACTGAACAACACTTTATAACCTAAAATATTATTACAAATTAAAACAAAACCATGGCATTTCAAGGATTGTAAACATTTGAGTAATTAAATAACTAATAAAATTACAAGCATTGAAAAGAACAATATTCAAAATTTTAACAATTTCACTTACTCCAAGCTTAACGTTTCACCCAAAACTACACTGGCCTACAGTTTTCTGTAAGTGACTTTTTTGCCATTTCCAGATTTTGGGAAAGAAACACTAACATATCAACGTGTTCCTGAGTCAGTCTTGATCGTCTTGGGCTTACAATATACCCTGCAGTTCTGAACATTCTTTCAGATGAACAGCTTGATGCAGCAATGCACAGATACTTCCTGGTAAACTCTGATAGTTGAGGTAGTGTACCCATATTTGTTTTCCACCAGGAAAGTGGATCATCCTCAGCACTGACCTCAGGCATCTGACCGTGTACCAAGAACTCACCATTTAACTCGTCACTTGCAGAAAGATGTGCTTGACTTGAGGATGTTGTTTCCCCTTTTTCTTTCTTTCCCCCTTGTATGGTGGAAAGCAGTTGCTTCAGGTCAGATTTTGATTTTTTTTGATGGCCTGACTTGACTTGAATCTTCCATCATTTCCCATTTTCCTCACCTCATCCACGAGACTTTGCTTCACATCATCCTTAAGAGAAACAAAGCTGTTCTTAAATCTTGGATCAAGGTAAGTTGCAGTGTTCAAAAGAAGCTGCAGCTGCAGGTCATCATAGCGATACTGAAGATACTCGGTTATCTTTTCCTTCATCTCTTGGGCTAATGCAGAGTCACTTTGTTCATGACTGAGACATTCACATATCTTCCAGAGTAATGGCAAGACTGAGGACAGGGTGGTATGTTTTTCCCCACTAAGTGCATCTGTAAAAGTACTGAGTGGTTCAAGAACTGCGTTAACAGTTTCTAAAACTGTAATGTCCGAGTCTTTTGGCATCAGATACCATTTTTTCCTGTCTTCAGCCAGCACAGCACAGACAACCTGCTGCTGCTCCAAGAAACGTTCCACCATATCATATGAAGAATTCCAGCGAGTGGGTTCATCATGAATGAGTTTGTGGTCTGGAGAGGACAGATCTGTCTGTTTTTTGGCCAGCTGGTGTGAAAGTTTTGGTGATCTTGTGAAGGCAGAGATAGTTTTTCAAAGCCTCGACAGCGCTGCGGACACCCTGTTTATCTCTAATGCCTTATTTACAGCAAGGTGGAGATTGAGTCCAAACCAAGGAATCCAGGTGTAGTCTTCAAAGGCCTTTTTGTTATTTGTGGCATTATCGGTTGTAATGTCTGACATTCTTACAATGTCCAACTTCCAGTCTTCAAGTTTTTCTTCAAAGGCCTCCTTTAAAAACTTTCAGCAGTGTGATCTGTGTTGAGACCACAGCAGCCAAGACACCAGGATTGCAGTTCCCACGATTTACTAATGTACTGCAGAGTTACAGACATGAAAGTGTCTGCAGCTCTACTTGTCCAAAGATCTGTTGTGCAGCTGTAAAACGGTTTCTCTCCGAGATGCTGGATTATGAGGTCTCTGGTGTCATTGTAGATGCGGGGAATCTCAGTGTACATAAAAAAAGTTTCAGCTTGGAAGCTGGTATTTTGGGTTGAAGTGATGAAGCATTTGTTGGAATCCACATTTTTCAACAGTATAAACAGGCACTTGATCCATACATATGAATTCAGCAACAGCTCGGTTCAGTCTTCTTGCCTCAGGTGAGTTTTTTTCGTATTTCTGCTGACGCTGAAAAGCATCTGTAACTGTTGTCTGTTTCAGTGTTTGCTGGGGTGTTTCATTATCTTCTTCTGCCTGCAGCTGTAAAAATATTTTATAATACATTTAGATAAGATTACATTAAGTGTATATGATATCACTGTTACATAGATGGAAACTGTAATATTAAAAACACTTTACAATAAGATTCCATTTGTTAGATAAAATGACCTAACAATAAACAAGTTATATAGCAATTATGTATTAAATAACATTCTGCACATTAATTAATGTTTTAAATATATATTGTTCACGCACTGTAAGTTGATGTTAGATAATACATGAAGTCATGTAAATGAATGGTATCTTATTGTAACGTGTTACTAAACTATACAGGAGACAAAATAGTAAATACTGTCACGCCCTCCTGTTTTTTTATCTAATAAAAGCTATAGGCGCATTAAAAAGTAAATAAAGAAACTTCATTCTAATACTTGCGTTAGCTGTTAGCGTTAGCTGCTCTTACGCTGATGATTAACTACGCAGACGCGCGATGCTTATTTCAATCTGACATTCAAATTAAAATATGATATAATATTTATAACAGCAGCTCTAAATATAAAATTTAATTGAATCTTACCTGCTTGAACTCTTTCATTAGATCTGGGTGTCGGTCTTTGAGGTGTTTTATTAAGTTGGATGTGTTTCCTCCTTTTGAGAGAAAACTTCGATGACATCGTTTGCAAATTGGTTTTTGTTGATCTATGATGTTCCCCTGGTCATCAGTCGCAAATCCAAAATATTTCCATACATGGCTTTTTCCTCCTTTCCTGTCAACAAGTGGATTCAGAGCCACTGTATCAGCAGCACCACCGGTCGCCATGTCTCAGTGCTTTAATGAAGAGAGTGCATCTTTCGGATAGCGCATCAAGAACCGGGTTGACTGGGTACTCGGTACCACCAGTACTTAAGAAAACGTGGTACCATAACTTTTTAATTGTTTTAGTACCGACTTGGTACCGAAGTACCGGGTCTTTTGACAACACTAGAGGGGATCATGCTCTGCTTCAGTATGTCACAGTACATGTTGGCATTCATGGTTTCCTCAATGAACTGTAACTCCCAGCACTCATGCAGCCCCAGACCATGACACTCCCACCACCATGCTTGACTGCAGGCAAGACACACTTGTCTTTGTACTACTCACCTGGTTGCCGCCACACACGCTTGACACCATCTGAACCAAATAAGTTTATCTTGGTCTCATCAGACCACAGGACATGGTTCCAGTAATCCATGTCCTTAGTCTTATTTTCAGGGGACAGCAAATTTACACTGTTATACAAGCTGTACACTCACTACTTTACATTGTAGCAAAGTGTCATTTCTGTTGTCGTGTTGTCACATGAAAAGATATAATAAAATATTTACAAAAATGTGAGGGTTGTACTCACTTCTGAGAGATACTGTATATATATATATATATATATATATTTTTTTTTTACTACTATGGAAGTCAATGGCATTTCTTGTGCATCATCTTTAGAAGAGGCTTCCTTCTGGGATGACAGCCATGCAGACCAATTTGATGCAGTGTGCGGCGTATGGTCTGAGCACTGACAGGCTGACCCCCCACCCCTTCAACCTCTGCAGCAATGCTGGCTGCCCTCATACGTCTATTTCCCAAACACAACCTCTGGATATGATGCTGAGCACGTGCACTCAACTTCTTTGGTCGACCATGCCTGCTCTGAGTGGAACCTGTCCTGTTAAACCACTGTATGGTCTTGGCCACCGTGCTGCAGCTCGGTTTCAGGATCTTGGCAATCTTCTTATAGCCTATGCCATCTTTATGTAGAGCAACAATTCTTTTTGTCAGATCCTCAGAGAGTTCTTTGCCATGAGGTGCCATGTTGAACTTCCAGTGACCAGTATGAGAGAGTGAGAGCGATAACACCAAATTTAACACACCTGCTCCCCATTCACACCCGAGACCTTGTAACACTAATGAGTCACATGACACCGGGGAGAGAAAATGGCTAATTGGGCCTAATTTGGACATTTTCACTTAGGGGTGTACTCACTTTTGTGGCCAGCGGTTTAGACATTAATGGCTGTGTGTTGAGTTATTTTCAGGGGACAGCAAATTTACACTGTTATACAAGCTGTACACTCACTACTTTACATTGTAGCAAAGTGTCATTTCTGTTGTCGTGTTGTCACATGAAAAGATATAATAAAATATTTACAAAAATGTGAGGGTTGTACTCACTTCTGAGAGATACTGTATATATATATATATATATATATATTTTTTTTTTACTACTATGGAAGTCAATGGCAACCACCAACTGTTTGATTACCAGCAACCTTCAAAATATCTTCTTTTATGTTCAACATAAGAAAGCAACTCATACAGATTTGGAACGACACGAGGTTGAGTAAATGATGACAGAATTTTCATTTTTGGGTGAGCTATCCCTTTAAAGGGTACAAAAATGTACTCATTAAGCACAGCCGACTTTTTGCCTTTAATGATGCATATCTTAATTGAAATGCTTTTCTCATTTAAAATAAAATTAAATATTTTTGTGTGAGAGATTATCTTATTTTAACATAACTTTTTATACTGAAACCAATATTTTGTGCACTAAAAATGTCTCGATGTAGATTTTGGTGAGCTTAATAGGTACGTTAACCCTATATAAATGACTTGGCTAATGGTTTAAAAAAAAAAGGTACTACAGTAAAATGTCCAAAATTTGGATTTCGTTAGACTATTACCTCTGGTGCTTAGCTTTAACGCATCCAGGAAAGGGAGCTTCCGCTGTGTTGTGCTAATTTCGTTGTGTTGTGGCTTGTTTCCGTTATGTTGTGGCGATTTCGTTGCATTGTGCACTAATGGGCCACCATAAGAAGTTCCTACATGAAATAGATTTTTTTTTTAAATAGATTTATATGTTTTCAAAATTATTCATTTATGATTTTTATTGACTACGGTTTAAAATATACACACAATTTAATTGCAGCAACTGTTAAAAAAACTTGAAGCAACGTTCACATAAAGCAGCAACACTATTATTAATATAATTTATTAGATATGTATAGCTAGGGTGACCATACGTGCCATTATCCCAGGACGCGTCCTGGCCAGGATTTCTATATTGCCTAAAATATCTAGGTTTTGGCTTTGTTTGCGTGTGCAGACCGATCGGTGTTTGACATCAAAATACCATACAGACGGTTCCTTATGCTTTCAAAATGCTCTCGAGGTATTTTGATGTCAAACACCGA